AACCCGGCTGGTGACCAACCCGTGGTTTGATATCATTTGCACAATCCCCACCATAAGGGTCTTCCTTCCGGGCTGACCGAAAATTGCAGATCCTGCCTAATGTAAGGACCTGCCTCAATCCCTCTTCCCAAGAAAGCAGAACTCCTGGAACAGCTTCATTCTAAAAGGAACTTTTATTAGGAGAAGTTGACAGCAGGCATAGAAGGCAGGATCTGAGGGTTTCCCGCACGAATCAATAGGTTAAAAGAGCAACTGGCAAACCCCACCCCAATAGTCCATCTGGTCAGTTCAAATGAGCCAATCTCCAGGTGTGAACCCTCTGTGGGAATGGGGTTGATAAGATACCATTCCCAAGGTTGTTAGGCTGTTAGGTCTTTGCGCCTGTTCCTCCGCAGCTAGAGATAAGGCAGATAGCTGGAGGCTCATTCCATTCTCACCCCAGGCTGGCAGTAAGGGAAATAGATCAAAGAACGGGCAGATAGAGGAAAATGGAGAGGATACATTGTAGCAGCTATAGCCAAGTGGACAGGATACATTGTAGTGCCCCCTCCCCCCAGGAGTATGGCAGAACCCGCAGGAAGATAGAATAAGGAAATCACCCCCCTCCCAATAACTGGGTTCTGACACTGACACCGAAAGGGCAGTTGTCCTGCCGTGCCCCCTGCAAACACCAGAAGCTGCGACCACTGTTGTTTGCCTGCCACACCTCCTCATGCAATGCCAGAAGCCGTGCATCACTGTCATTTGCCTGCTGTGCCCCCCATTTGCCCCCACAATGCCAGAAGCCGTGCACTACTGCTGTTCTGCCTGCCACCTGATTGGCTAGTGGCTATTTGTCCCATGCAGCCAAAGGTCCAGGAGAAAGGGTGTCTGGGCAAATGGGCCGGATTGAAGTGCGAGGGGTGGAGGTCCATGGACCCATTGGCTGTGGAGAATGGCCAGGGGAGGGCCAATGGAGGAGGAAAGCTGGCTCTAAGTGGGCTAAGTCATGTGGCAGGGGGCGAAGGAGGCACAGCCAAAGGTCTATGCCTGAACATCCCATTCTGCTGGTATTATGGTACAGCTTACCAGCGGCTTGTCGCCTCCTCTGCTGACACTCTCTGCTCCAGCCTTACAATCTCTGGTCAGAGTTCCCTTGCCATCGCTGGTTGGAGGGGGAAACTTTACGACCTCCACTTCTCTGAGTGCTGTTTCTCTGGGTTTGGTGGGCCCCCTTTCCACCCCTTTTTGGTTCTTGTGGGTGCTGGAGCTCAGCAATGAGCTGCCTGATGACCTTCTTTACCATACCAAAAGCATCTGGCCCTGTTGTGGCAAGGACTGGGGTTTTGTTTTCCTGGTTTTGTGGGTTCTCATTTTTCTGGCCTGAGTGATCATCACTGTTCTTGGTTGGTACAGGTGTGGTACCTGGCCAGGTTGATTTCCACCTTATCCGCCAGGACATACCAGCCTTGGAGGGTTCTTGGCATCCCCCTGGACAGACAGGTGTAGAACAATTTGTTGGCCAATCCTTTTTGGAAGCACTTGATCAGCATGTCCTGGGGCTAGTCTGCCAGTTTGCTGGCCAAGATTCAGAACTCTTGAATGTAGGCTGAGATATGTCATCTTCCTTGCTTGAGGGTTTTGACCTGGTTCATATGTTCCAGTCACTGAGTGGGTCTTTGAACCACTTCCTCAAGGCAGCCATAAATCTGTTGAACTGGTGCAGCTTCACAATATCATCATCATGGAGGGCCACCAGCCACTGTGCGGCTTCCCACTTGAAGGCCATAGTGACTCACTGCACTTTGGCCAAGTCATTCAGTAGGTCTGCCCCATAGTCTTCCATGTAATACCACACTTGGGTTAGGAAGAAGGCCAGCTGTTTCGCATCTCCATTGAATTTCACTCCTAGCACCAATGGATGGTGGTCCCTTCTTCTCGGGAGAGTGACTCTGGTCATTGGTGGAGCTGGTCAGGCAATGGCTGGGCTGCTGTACCGGTGGTGGTACAGCAGCCCAGGAGGTCTTGAGTTCTCAGCTTGTCAAAAGTGTCCCTCAGAAATTCAATTGCGTGCTCGAGCATTGTCGTGTGGAGGTCTGGTTCATCTGGTATGGGCTCACATGCCTCTGTGAAGCTCCAGTCTTGGGATTGGCTCCTGCGGCTAAAAATTACTCTGGGGGAGGTTTATCCCAATCCTCCAATCTCCTGACTCCAGTTGACCACCAGGCTTTCCGTCGGGAGCTTGCTTTTAGTGGGATCTCTGCTTCTTCTAGCCTGGGGTACTCCCCATTGTCCCTCAGTTTCGAAGCAGCTGCCCCCCCCGGTCTCCATCTCCTCCTCCTCTCCTTCATAGTCTGACATCTCTTGCACAATCTCCGCGGTAGAGGTGATTCTCCAGGTGTATTGTTACTTCTGACCTGCTTAATTTTGGACTTGTCCCAAAGTCATTAGGAAGAAAGAGTCTTTGACTGCGTTCGTAGTAAAGAGCCAAACGGTTATAAGTTAGGAAAAAGCTAGATCTGATATTTGCATGTGAAAACTGCCTACTTGTTTTCCCCTTTCCCAGGTCCTTCCCCTGCATTATCTCTGTGGTGTCCAGTTGGACTCAAACAAATTGTTTTGGCAACAGTTCTAATGCTTGGTGGGCTTGGCGATAGTCCACATTCCATTGCCATGCTTGTGGCCTTGGGGTGGGCCGGCCGATATCTCTGGCAAGCACTCAGAGTAGTTTCGTTTTTTGGTTTTCCCCTCCTATCTGTTGGCCCCTCCCCCCCAGGGTTCATGGTAGTCTAGCATCAGCGAAGCAGTGATAGGGCAAAGCAGGATGGCAGCGCTATTTGATTCAATTAGTACAGGTAGTCTTTGAGTTACAAATGTAATGGAGCCTGCCCATTCCATTCGTAACTCAAGGATTCATAGGAGTAAATCTCGTACCTTGAACGAGATCATTCCCTGCTTTTGCCCACACATTCGTGAATCGAATGTGTGGTTCATTAAGTGCACATGAAGTATCTCAGGGTGGAGAAGGCCATGGGGGGGCCCTAGTGATGGAACAGGCCCACAAGGCCTCCCCAACCCACTAAGATACCCTACCCACATGCTTCCCCCTCCCCTCCTGCCGCACCGAACTCACTTACCTTGCAACGATCTGTCTCCTCTCTGCTGCTGTTTCTTTGCCTTTGAGGGAGAGGAGAGTCGATGGAAACTCCTGGGTGCTGTAATATCGCACGAGTTCAGGCACTCATCCTCTTTTGCAGACAAAGCTTCCAGTCTCAGTCAGGTCTGTCAGGTCTCCGTCCAGGTGAAAAGTGTTTGAGCGCCTGTGGGAGGGCGCGGCAGGCTAACTGCCCATTCAGTATCAGGCTGGCAGGATCAGGTGTGGGGTGGGAGTATGGGGCTGCAGCCGAACTGCCTATTCAATATCAGGTCAGAGTCCAGGCACAGAGGCAACAGAGGGGAGGGTGGACAAAAAGGGAAGCCACTGCTCCATAGATTTCTTTTAAAAACTGTCAGAGGCTCTGTCTGCCACCACCCTCCACCTCGCACCTGAATCGTTCTGTTTCCAAGTGCCCCATTTGCACACAGATAAAGCTTTCAGTCTCTGTCCGGGCAAAAAGTGTTTGAGGGCTATGGGGCACTTAGAAACCAAGCGATTCACTCCTTTCCAATTGTCCCATAGGCACTCAAACACTTTTCACCCGGACAGAGACCTGATAGAGATTGGAAGCTTCGTTTGTGTGCAAATGGGATGCTTGGAAATGGAGCAATTCGCTCCAGTTCCAAGTGCCCCATTTGCACGCAGATGAAGCTTCCAGTCTCCGTCAGGTCTCAATCCAGGCGAAAAGTGTTCCGGCGATGGCGGAAAGGAATTGGGAGGGGAGGAGCAGGAGACGGGAACCGCAAATACTTTTCGCACCAAGAATGAAAGTTTCTGGGGTCCGTGATCTCACGAGAATTCAGGCATCCATTCAGGCAAAAATGGATGGGTGCCTGAATTCACGTGATATTATGGCATCCAGGAGCTTCCATCGACTCTCCCTCAAAGGCAAAGAAAGTGTTGTGAGTCCGTGCCAGCCAGTGGACCCGGCAGCTGAGTCCGGGGAATCAGAGGAGGAGGAGGAGGGCCATCAGAATTGGAGGAAGGCTCTGATGAGCTCCAGGACTTACAATCTGATGAAGAGCCTGGCCCCTCCAATCGTGCTCAGGCTGAGACCCAGCTTTGCGGGGAAGCTGAGTCAGACTCTGAGGACTCACAGCTGGAAGACATCATAGACACTCGCACACGCAGACAGGCAACAAGAGCAGGACAGAGGGAGGCCATGGGGCGACTCCAAGGGAGGAGGAGAAGGCATGGAGAAGCCACGCCTTGGGGCTGCATAATAAAAAGGGAAGGTGTGGGCGGTGCTGCTGGTTGCTGAAGGCAACCGTCTGAAAAGGACTCAAGTTTCATGGAATCAGATTCTGTTTGCCTTGCCTGTGAACAATTCTCCATTTGAATTGTGTTCTGTTTGCCTTTGCTTTGGGGACATTTTGCAGGTCTGTACCTAATTAATGAAAGGGATTTGTTTTCCCTGCATTTCTAGCCTACTTGTTAAAAGAGAGGTTTGTCCTTGTGAATTAACAAGGACTCACATAGGCTGGGATAGAACAGAAAACCTCAGCAGAGAGGAGACAGATCTTTGCAAGGAAAGTGAGTACAGTGCAGCAGGATGGGAGGGGGAAGCAGTTGTGGGAAGCGGGGGGAGGAAATAGGGTGAATGTTGCAGAGCCTTTGCAGTCGTTCGTAAGGGCAAACAACTGCCGTGATGCTGCAACATTCGTAATTTCGGGACTTGCTCGTAAACACTAGGACAGTGATGGCGAACCTTTTAGAGACCGAGTGCCCAAACCGCAACCCAAAACCCACTTATTTATCACAAAGTGCCAGGGCCGCATCAGCATTGTGGTGCCCTTGGGGGGGGAGGGGGCAGGGAGGCGCCTCTGAGTGCTGCCTCTGGCATGCAAAAATCGGGGGTGCAAAGATGGCCACCGCCACACCGCAGGGTACAGATATGAGGCACTGCACCACGCAAAAACAGGGCAGGGCTAGTGAGTATCACGCAGGCACTAGCCCCGCGCGCACATGCACGCATATAAAAGGCTTCCCCCTCCCTTTTCTTCCAGTCCACCCATCGATAATGGTTGGTGACCTCTGCTCTACCACCTCTACTTGAACTTGCCAGTCGACCGCTTCGCCTCCTTTGTGCTGGGCGGGGCTCTTGCTCTGGGTGGCGGTGGCGGCCTGATGGACCTGCTGTTGGTGGCGGTGGCGCGCGTGCCAACAGAGAGGGCTCTGAGTGACACCTCTGGCACGCGTGCCATAGGTTCGCCACCACTGCACTAGGAGGCACTTATTGCGTAACTTCAAACGGGCACTACGTGAGCGCTCATAACTCGGGGATTATCTTAAGGTCCCGTTTGTAAGATCAAACTTTTTTTTACTTTTCAGCAGAACAACACTCTGATGCTTGCGAAGTGCTGATTGTATATGGAAAAGATGCTGATGAATGGAGTCATTATCTCCAGAGTCTCTTGCACTCATGCCAAAAAATTCAGAGCTATAAAGTGGAGCGTAGAACTGCTATTTCCACGGAGGAACAGGTTCTCTTCAAGAACAGCAAGTGTATAATTATTCTACTGTCATCTGAATTGGTCCAGAGCTTCTGCATTCCTGCTGTACTTCAGAGTCTGCAAAAGGTTCTACAGCCTCCATCAAAAATGGTGAAATTTTTCTGCGGCGTTCCAGCATGTGAGAATTACAACGAGTTTTTCAAAGACTGGTTTCAATGGAAAGAGGTTACCTATGATGATGAAGCAGAGACCTATGTTGATGCAGTCATGAAAATTATTTCAGAAGCAGGTAAGGTGCTATCTTTTTTTAAAAAAAATGTCTCCACTCCCCCATTCTGGGCATGGCTTTACTCTGGATTGTATAGTATCATTTATTTTTGTTTTGTGAACTGCCCAGAATCTATTAGAGTTAGGTCAGTGGTGGTGAACCTATGGCACGTGTGCCAGAGGCGGCACTCGGAGCCCTCTCTGTGGGCACGCATGCCGTCGCCCCAGCCCCGCCTCCCCCCACGACCCCCTCCTCACCAGCAGCCCCCCTGGAGGAGAGTCACCCCCGGGCACTGTCCGCACGGAGCAGCACAGCCAAGTATATAGCCAGGCAACAGGGACAAGACTCTGCCCTCGTACCCCATAGCATGCAGATGATGCTGAGGGGTGTGGGCAGAGGGCGTGGCTACCATGGCGCTTCACGGCTGCCTGGGCGATCTGCGGCAAGCCATGGACGCGATGCGTAGCCCTGCGGGCCGCTGGGGCAGGGGGCAGGCGGGGGCGGAGCAGTCAGGGCGGGAGGCGGAGTGGGGGCGGGGGGCGGGTTTTGGGCACTCAGTCTCTAAAAGGTTTGCCATCACTGAGTTAGGTGGTATTTAAATCAAATTAAATCAAATCAATAATTAAATAAAGTTAGTTAGTTAACTGTTTACCTGGAGACTTTTTCCACACTTTCGTCATGCATTGTTTTCTAAACCTTCCTTGAAAAAAAGGCTCGCACTTTTTTGTATTCAAAATATTTAACTTTGCATGCAACTGTAAATTCAAAGAACTGATGCTTTTTTCCTTGTTTCATATGTTATAAATCTGATAGTTTGGTGTAGTGGTAAAGATAGCAAGCTAGAAACCATGAAACCTGAGTCCTAGTCCCACCTTAGGCAGAAAGCTGGGGTGATCGTGGACCAGTCGCTGTCTCTCAGCTCTAAGAGGGAGGCAATTGCAAACCACTTCTGAAAATAGTTGTCAAGAAATCTGAAGGGAGGCGTCCAGGCATTCTCCAAGAATTGAATGAACATGATTGAATGGAAGAAAAAAGATGTCATAAATATATTTGGCTGCAAAGGAGAAAAATGATGTAGCAGTTGGGGCCAATGTCCCTGGATAATTTAATAGCGTGCAACTTTGTTAAATTAGATGCTTCATCAGGGCTATCGGTATGACACGTTACAAAATTACGTAAGTTTTGAATTGCAGAAATTGCTTTCACTTCTGTAATTTTCTGTCATTTTTATTTGCATAGCATCAATGAGATTCAGGATTATCCTTTGAAAAAGCTCAACTACTTAACAATGCATTCAGAAAGCATTCAGACCCCCTTCACTTTTGTCAAGTTTGTTATGCTACAGTTGTTGAAAAAAATTCATTTTTTTCTCATTAATCTGCATTCAGTACCCCAGGATGACAAAGTGAAAACAGAATTTTAAAAATAAGTGCGACCAATGCAGTCTCTGTCTCATAGTTGGACCTGAAACCTGACTGAAAGGGGTCTAGGAAACCTATTCCATCCAAGATTCTCTGAAGTTGCCAAGCAACCACCTTTTCTAAAAAAAAAAAAGGGGGGGGATAGGAAACTGGACAAAAATTTTCAAGGCAGGTAGAAAATTTTACAAGACAGCAAACTAGGCCCTCCTTAAAAGGCTTGGGGAATGTCGCCTCTTGCAGTGAGGAATTTATCGTTGCATATTCTCAGCTGCACACCACCATCCTGGAGGCTTTTACCAACCAGGAGGGACAAGGGTCTAATTGACAGGTGGCTGCATTGATAGCATTGAGGACCCTGTCCACTTCCTCAGGACCAACAGGATCTTAAGACCCCCTGGTCCCTAGTCATGTTATGTTATTTTTCAGAATTTCTCCATAGAAATGGAGAAAGCATCCACAGAATCCTTCCTACTCTCTTTCCTTTAGCTTATTGACATCAGTTCTCTTGAAATCCAGACAGAATGAGATAGAATGTGCACCTGCAGCAGCAGAGGGGGAGGGATTTGCCAAATCAGAGCTTTTCTGGAAAGAGACCCAGATTAAGAGGTTGTGCAATAATAATATGATGATCAATATGATCATTCTGTGTGTTATATGTTTGTGTGTTCTTTCAAGTCAGACTTGATTCTTGGTGACTGCCTGGACAAGTCCCTTAGCAAAACTTTGGAAGTAGCTTCCCATTATCTCCTTCCTAGGGCAGAGAGAGTGTCTCTATGTGCCCCCCCCCCCAGTGTCCAGGAGTAACATTCAGCTGACTTTGTGTCTAAGGTAGGACTACAACTCATGATCTCACAGTTTCTACTCTGATACCATAACCCAGGGGTAGACAACGTTGGCTCTTTTATGACGCGTGGACTTCAACTCCCAGAATTCCTTTCCCCTCAGCATGGCTGGCTCAGGAATTCTGGGAGTTGAAGTCCACGAGTCATAAAAGAGCCAAGGTGCCTACCCCGGCCGTAACCTCTTTACCAGTGGTGGTGAACCTATGGCACGGGTGCCAGAGGCGGCACTCAGAGCCCTCTCTGTGGACACGCGCGCCGTTGCCCCAGTCCTACGCCTTCAACTGGGTTTTATAAAACCTTTTCACTTTTGTCCTCCGCCACCGTGTGCAAAAAAAAAAAAAAAGGTTCAATCAGTCAATTTTAACTTCTCGCGGGGAAAAAAGAGATCTTGCAAAGTTGGAATTGATTGATTGAACTTTTTAGTCCCACCCAGTCTGCCGTTACCACCGTAACCACGCCCACCCAACGGGCCATGCCCACCCAATGGGCCACACCCACCCAATGGGCCACACCCACCCGGCACTCGACGATGCATAAGTGGGTTTTGGGTTGCAGTTTGGACACTCAGTCTCTAAAAGGTTCGCCATCACTGCTCTATACCAAACTGGCTCTCCATATGATCATGATTGAGTTTAAAGTAATATTTCTTTTTTCTTACATAGAATGCATTTAATTTTTAATTTATGTTCTTTCCATGGAATTTCCCAATAGCCAAACAAATTTTCAGAAATCATATTAACGTTTATGCTTTTCTTAGATTCTGGTTGTGATTCAGTGGCTGATGCAAAGATGGAGGATGTTGGGAGTCTGCAAGTGTCGGACAGTTTTCCAGGCTGTCAGGCCTATGAACCTTTAGTGACCAGATTAGAAAATCTTGTTGCTGTGCGGCCTGATCGTATACGCTGTGGGGTACAGTATATTTTACTCCTTCAAAGGTGATCTGATAGAACTGGAAGAGAAATCATACCCATCTGCAGTGGATATAGCTTAATTATAACACAGCTATTCACAAGCAGACTTATCCTTAACACTGCTAGGCAAATTTTTGCGTTGGACTATGTAGATAAGAAATTGCGTGATATATGTAATTGTATTCCATAACAGATTTTCCTTTTCTTGGGCAAGGGATGGTGAACCTGCAACCAAATACCCTTGAACCAAAACCTTAGCAGCCCTAGCCAGCATAGACACTGATTAAGGATGCTTAATTAAATCACAGCTCACAACATTTAGTGGACTACAGGTTCTCTCTCCCTGCCACATTCTTTTTACTATGCATTTCCTTTTTCTATTTCACATTATCTGGGGTCTTACATGAATTTGAGTTGAATTTGAGTTTTGTTTTCTGTAGTTCACCCTATGGGGGAGGGAAACGAAGTCTATTGCTGGGGTTTTAATGAGGTTCTAGTTCTGCTCAGACATAAGTATAATGATTTTATATCTTTGTGGCTGCACATTTGGCTTAAATCTACCAAAAGGATAATGCTTGTACCAAGAAGGTTAGTTTCCAGGTTTCTGGCTTGTTTTCCCCTTTTTCCTCCACAATGTCCCGAAAAGAGAAAATCTATAACATCCCTGCCATAATGAACAAATGAGATGAGAAAATTCAATTTGGAGGAAATGGTGCCTTGGTTAACCCAGACACAAATCATATAGGATTGATAGGTTTCATTCAGACACTTGGTAATCAGAGCACCATCAGTATTGGTTCTGTACTTCAGAAGTGGTTCTTAACTGCCAGCAAGTAAGCTACTGCATTTTATTTTATTTCTTAAAATCAGGGGTGTCAAACTCAATTTCATTGAGGGCCACATCAGCATTGTGGTTGTCCTTGGGGGGGGGGAGAGGTGTGGCTAGGGTGGGCGTGGCCTACTGGGTGGGTGGGGCTGGAGTGGGTGTGGCCTACTGGGTGGGCGTGGCCAGCTCTACATCATTTGCGTCAAGGGGGCCTGTAGGGGTCTGGGCAGGAGTGGGACAGATCTGAGGGTCTCTGGCAGAAGGGGGTGGGACCAGGGCAAGTGCCAAGGCATGGTCCACTGGAAAAGCCTGCTGAAACCCTTCCCCCGGAGCCCATCAAGCCGGATATGTGAAGTAGACGAGGACCATTTGCTGGCCACTTCCAGGAATGGTGCATTTCTTCATTCCTCACAAAGGATGACACCTCCCCAGCATGCACCCAGGGGGCGAGGCTGACGCAACAGGGGCCGGTCCCTTGCTGTTTCCAGACGGCCTTGTGGAGCTAAGACTGACTGCGTTTCAGCATAGATGGCCACCACAAAATTGTACATTGGCTCCCGGCCGGCCTGGGCCAGGGCCAAGGCAGCGGGGGCCGTTCCCTCACTGTTTCCAGGATGACTTTGCAGGCCACATGAAACCACGTCGCAGGCCGCATCCGGCCCCCGGGCCTTGTGTTTGACATGTCTGTCTTAAATGTACCGGCCACCCTTCTTAGCACAGGGTAACTGTGTGGCTGAGTTTTGAAACAATTATAGTTTCGGGTAATCTTAAGGGTAGGTCTAAGCAAAGAGACTATTTCAGTAAACCAGTCTAGGGGTAAAAGGGTATGGATAGTTTTTGCTAAGGTCTCCTGCTCTCAAAAGTGGGACACCAGCCAAAGCTGTTCTCTGGTATTCCAGAAGGAGCTTAGTGTCCAGGAGGAACTGAAGCCATGGATTTGCCAGAGTGAGATGGGGACTGACAACATGTCTGACAGTTTCTGCATGAATAGCAGAATAACAGATTTGGAAGGGACCTTGCATGTCTTCTAGTTTCAGCACTTTTTAAAGATTTCCGTTGAAAATACTGGAGGGAGACATGTCTCCTTTTAAAACCAGTTCTGCCCTAGAACTAGCTGGTTCTTCATAATACTGTACTACAATTTTGTCAGTCCTGTAGTTCAGGGCTTTTCAACCAGTGGTACGGGTACCACCTGTGGTGCATTGGCACCTGGCAGGTGGTACGCAACCATCCTAGAAAAGTGGTAGCGGGGGAGGGGAATGAGCTGAACCGGTGGCAGCACCGCACAAGCCTGAGCGAGAGACGGCTGTAGCTGCAGGGCTGTCAGGGCTCAGTGGAAGCACCAGGATCAGTGCCGCTTTCCAGCTGATTGGTGCTTCGGGGCTGTCAGGGCTCAGTGGAAGCGCCAGGATCAAGGCCAGGTTCCAGCTGGAGCTCGGCGCTGATCCTGGTGCTTCTGCTGAACCCTGAAGAAGCACCAATCAGTTCAGTGGTTCTCAACCTGTGGGTCGGGACCCCATTTCGGGTCGATCGACCATTTCACGGGGGTCGCCAAGCAAGGCTGTCCGCCATTTTTTTTGTCCATTTTTTTGTCCGCCATTTTTTTCCCCTTTTCCGGCGGGTGCCTTACCTCCCTTGGGCTGGGCCAGCTGGTGGTCGGCCTGCTCCGTCTCGGCCGCTTGCCAGCTACGCCTCGGCCGGCGCAGGGGCCAGAACCACGCATGCGTGGCGCTCCCGGGCAGGGAAAGTCCTTGACTTACAACCAGTTGGGTAGTCCTCGACTTACGACCGGTTTAGTCCTCGACTTACGACCGGTTTAGTTCTCGACTTACGACCGGTTTAGTCCTCGACTTACGCCCGGTTGGGGTCGCGGCATTAAAAAGGTTGAGAACCACTGAATCAGTTGGAAAGCAGCACTGATACTGGTGCTTCTGCTGATCCCAGAAGAAGTGCGGATCACCTGGAATGTTGCAGCATCTCCAGGGTCTTGTGATTTACATTCAGATGCTTGGCAACTGATTCATATTTATGACGGTCACAGTGTCCCAGGGTCATGTGAAGTGACCAAAACCTGCTGCAACCACCCAGCAGACGGGGGGAATAAAAACCAAATACCCCCCACCCCACCCCCACTGCCAATCCTCAACAGAAATGCTCACAACAATGAAAAACTCAGACAGGAGGAAGAGCGCGGCCGGGCAGGCAGGCAGGTGTCTTGCTCGGCTGTGGCTTGGGGGGCACTTTTTTCAGTGCCATTGTAACTTTGAACAGTCACTAAGCGAACTGTTGTAAGTTGAGGACTACCTGTACTTTATCACTTTTGGGGGGGGGGGTCATCAAGGTTTTGATACCTTGCTAGGCGACTGGTGGTACTCGGATATTGCCATATCCTAAAAGTGGTACAATGGGTGAAAAGGTTGAAAAGCCCTGCTGTAGTTGTATTAGTCATCTGAGCTTCTTTGCAAAAGGAGTAGATTGGGTTCAGAGAACTGTTGGGGAGGGAGAGGGGAGACACAAGCCATGTGCACCAAAGCCTGATGAAAAATCCTTAGAAAGTTTTAAGAATCTAACTGCTTCATATATTTTTGCAGGCTGAACTTGACTCTTAAGGATAAATAAGTCTTTGGGAATAACTGAAATAAAATATAGTGTTCATTGAATGTGGAGGTGTGCATTCAAATGTTTTGTGAAAAACTGAGATAGAAAATTATAGTTGACGTAAAACAACATGGACAGAAAAATAACGTAAGAGTCAATAGCAGCGGGCAAAATGATTATAGTTTTTTAGTCGTAGTTTTGTAAAAAAAATTCATCCTTCAAAAAATACATGTTTGGGGAGAAAATTGTGGTTGGCATTTGCTGAGTGACAGAGCTTATGTTTGTTATTGGCTTAAATGCTTAAATACAAATTTTGATGCTTTAAAATGTTGCATGCCACTTATGAATTTGCTAAATGAAGGACAGCAGTGTCTCCTCTCACCACAATCACCACAATCTCACCACAATCAAGTTGTGATGAGAATAAATTTTGTTCCATTCCCTCTGAACCAATGCTATCAGGCTCAGCAGTCATCTATATAAGATTGAAAAAGAAGGTGCATTCTTCCTTGTTGTTGTTAGTTGCGAAGTCGTGTCCGATCCATCGCGACCCCATGGACAATGTTCCTCCAGGCCTTCCTGTCCTCTGCCATCTTCTGGAGTCCATTGAAGCTCACACCTACTGCTTCAGTGACTCCATCCAGCCACCTCATTCTCTGTCGTCCCCTTCTTCTCTTGCCCTCAATCTTTCTCAGTGTCAGGCTCTTCTCCAGTGAGTCCTTCCTGCTCATTAGGTGGCCAAAGTATTTGAGTTTCAAGCATTCTTCCTTATCCAAGCACAAATAAGGAGAACTTGTTCCTTTTAGATCCTCAAGCCCAAAAGATATCAATGTATTGTGAAAACTGAATATTACAAAGGCCCTGGATCTTACTGTGTTTTTTAAAAAAAATGTAGGTGCAGACAACCATTTTCATAATTGTAAGATGTAAATTGGATAGACAAACAAAAATGGAAGTGGAATTTTCTTCTAAAAGCTGTCAGCCACTGAAACTATCAGCAAATATTGAGAATGAATATACAGTCTCCGTTCACACACCTGGTAAGTACTAAAACTGGTCTTTTCTATCTTGAATTTGTGTGTGTCAGAACATTTTAGTAGAGTTTCTCTTCCTATTAGTGGTATATTTGTACTAGGCTAATAATATACTATCAAAAATATTTTTTGTGTGTCACTGAGGATGCAAAAAGCTACAATTAGAAAATAGATTTATTTACACCAACTCGCGAGTGGATGACTGGTCGAATGCAGAGAACTCAAAGAGTTGCTTAGACTGTGCTTTCTGCTTTTGCACTTCTGCATAATGTCATAAAGTGGACCTGCATTTCTCATGGGTTATACAAGAAGTCCAGCTGTGGGGAGAAAGCTGACACAGGAAGCAGAAGCTCAGCTGCACTTCCTGTTTCCTGTACTTTCTGTTCATGCTGTTAATTTTAACAACATGATATTTTTAAAAGCATTAGGAAACTTCTCTTTATATGAAGTATTACATATTGTCAGAGGACATAACCATATCTATACATACAGTAGCTAATTTATTTTTTACAGGTAGTCCTCGACTTATAACCATAGGTTTAATAACCCTTGAAAGTTATGACCGCACTGAAAAATAACTTATGATGACCCTTATGACCATCACAATTTCCCCATGATCATGTGATCAAAATGCAGGGGCTTAGCAACCCACCTATATTTATGACAGCTGCAATGTCCCAGGGTCATGTAATTGCTATTTTGTAGTCTTTTCACTAGACTTCTGACCAGCAAAGTCAATGGGTAAAGCTGGATTCACTTAATGACTGCATGATTCTCTTAACAACTGTGGTAAAAGTCGTAAAGTCAGATGTGGCTCATTTAATGACCACATTGGTTAGTATTGGAAGTTACGGTCCCAATTGGGGTTATAAGTCAAGGACTACCTGTAGTCAAACAAAGTATGCCTAAAAAGTATGCCTGTGAAATTTATTTTTTTAATAAAAATATTTGCTCTAAAGGAAGGAATTATCGCAGTCCTATATTACATTAACAAGATACTTACGTTGACAATTGTGGAATCTTAATATTAAACGCTGTATGGATCAGCACTTGGTATGGAGCCAAGCCAAGCATTTTGAAGGACATGGTGCTGGCGTTAACTAGTTGGTTATCTGGGTCACTGCCACTCTGGTCATTGGATTTCTGATTCAGAATTTTATCCTGATACACTCACAGACTCTGTACAACAAGCGCAGAATGGAATGAAACAAAATTGTTCTAAACATCAACAATGGTTTGAAAGCTTATTTTAAACCTCTGGGGTCCCTTTTAGTTACATGGTGAGTTAAATTGTTAGAGTCGCCAGATTGCTTGGAACACTTAAATTGCTTAATACTTTTACAATTTTATGAGTTTCTTACATTTTACCATTCAGTTTATTTAGGGTCAAATGTGACCTTACATGGATTCTGCTACTGCTACTGAATGGAACCAAATTTGGTCATTCTTCCCCTCCTTTTGCTGTTCTTTCTCTGTTGACAAACTTAATGTGAAGTGTGAGCTGCATAGTAAAGCAAAGTTAATAAATATTTCTGTTTGCAAGATATCAATTTAACCATTTTTATAAATTCCACAGAAGGTATTTTTTGCCCTTAAAAGATACCTTAGAATAAAACCACATCAGGTGTGTATATAAAATTAGAAATGTTTTATGCATATTGCTCTGTACAAGTGTCTTCGGTTAACAAACATTTGTTCAGCAACCATTGAAATTACGGAGGTGCTGAAAAATTGTAGTGATACCCAAAGTTATAGCTGTTGCAGCACCTCCGTGGTCATGTGACACTTGGCAACCCACTCAGGTATAGTGGCATAGTGGTCAGAATGCAGTATTGCAGACTGACTCTGCCCACTGCCGGGAGTTCAATCCTGATGGATAAAATTGAGAGTGTTTGCTTTGCTTTCTTCTGGAAACTCTGTAGCACCCGTAGACAGAAAATTCAAGGTAAATGAATCAACCATCTGCCATATTCCAAAAGGAAGACAATGTTCGTGAGGCTATTTGCGAAGCTGCTTCAGACAGTGCTAAAGAGAGTTCTGTGATTTGTAAAGTGATGGAAGAAATAGAAAAGCAGCCTAGTTTGTGGATAAATGAAATGGTTCGCTGCATAAGGGATGTCTTATGAACAGCAAAATGAAAAACAACCCCATATAAATTTACAAACATTTGACTGAAAATCAGGAAGTCATCTGTGGGAGCACTGGTTGGCTGGAGCATTTTAAAAACAGGTATGGTTTAAAAAATGTGGAACTGTCAGGTGAGGCTGATTCAGCAAATAATGGAAGCTGCTGAAGAGTTTATAAAACTTCTGAAAAACACCAGAAAAAGAAGGTACCTATTTGAGCAGGGTTTTTTTTAATGTGGATGAAACAGGATTGCTTTACAAACAGAGATTACTTTTTAAAATAAAATATATCAAATCCCGTTTTTTCCATAGGACCAATGCTTCAGTAACTGTGGTTTCCATTTCTGTGTGGTTTTTCAGGAACAAACCCCACAAATAACAAGGATTGAGTGTATTTGTATAAAATGAAAAAGACAGTCTCCTTCAAGGCAAGCTTGACTCCTGGTAAAACGTCATGGATCCATCTGTGTAGTTTTCTTGGCAACCGTAAGGAAGCATTTTATCACTGCTTCCTGAAATGCTGCTTAATTTTCTCTTTTAGCCTTTGGTCCCAGATTAACCTGGTGATTTCCCATCTATTGATCGGTGAAAATGATCCAAGTGCTGTTATTTTCCGAAGCTTTTTAATTTGGATGGAACCTAAAGTGATTTTGAAACAGCAGTTAAAACGATAAGATTTTATCACTTTAAAAATTAACATAAAATTATAAAAAATAGAATTAAAAACATGGACTCTTGCTTGATTCTAATCAGAAGCATTTTCTGCATGAGGACTTTTCTGACTTTAGCTTTTCAGTTCTGTAAAGAACAAAGATTCTCTTGATTCAAAAATGGAAGTTCTTTGCCCCTGTTTTTTTTCCAGGATGTTGGGTTTTGTTTTGTTTTTTAAACGTAAAGCCCTGTTTTCCCACTCAAGCTCTCGTCGTGTTTAACTGACTCTGGGCATTTTGCTTAATTTAGAATTAAAGAGGTATCCAGTTCACATGTGTATGTGCTGATCCTTTTTTCCACTGCTTCTTTCAACACAGTGTATGATTATTGCTGATTATTGCTGATCTTGTCTTGCCCTTTAGACTTATCACCTGGAGCTGTATGTTTGAAACTGTTTTCTGGAGATGTAATGATAGCTGAAGCAAACATCAATTACTATACTGACATGGAAGAAATTAGCAACTTGTTGTCTAACGTAGCAAATCCAATGGAATTCATGTGTCAGGTGAAATATTAAATTAATTTCTAATGGGGTACAGTAAATAATCTCCCGGCCTGAGGGGGAAAGGAGGAAACAGGAGAGAGCTTGATACATCACTTAAGATATTAGAAAAATAGAACCAACTGTAAACCTGAGGTATGAGTAAAGTAGCAAAAGCATCTTGTGAGAAATAAATAAATGGAGGATTCAGAAAACCTGTTTCTCGCTAAAGTAAGTCATGTGTTTATTAGAAAAAGGTGTTTTTGAACTGTATGGTCTTGTTTAATTGTGATAATATAGAGACCACAAGGAGACTAGGGAAGATGGGCAGTCCCACAGATAATCTGGCTCGGCATCACAAAAGGCTACATAGGTAACAACCAGCATCTTGAATTGTGCCTGGAAATTGACTGTTAACCAGTGCAGTTCATGCAGTAGTGGTGTCACAGGGGCAGACTGAGGCCTACCTGACACTACTGCATTCTGCACCTGCAAATGGCTTCCAACTGGTCTGGTCCAAGTGCCCTATATAGAATACATTGCAATAATCCAACCATGAGTTGACCAGTAGTGCATGAGTGACAGTTCTTGCTTATCTCTACAGCATTTTCCCTCTTTAGAAAGAAAAGCTCTTTCAATTGCATGGGTTTCTCTGTGACTTTAACAGATTGGTGTGTACACAAATGGGCACCTGTGGCAGTGGGCATGGTTTTGGGATCAGAGCCAGACCTCTGGGCTGCTTCATTTGAGGGGAATGCAATGCACCCGTAACTTATATCCTCCACTTTTTCAGAACACGATAGCTTCTCAAGTTCATATGCTTGCTTTCAGACAGGGAAGAAGTATCTAGCATCTGGGTATACATTATTCTTCTCCTCAGTATTCAGTATCCCTGGTTTAAGTTTCCTAAATTCAGACAGAGAACGAAGGAAGGGGGACTACAACCATGAACATTTTTAATTTCCACGTAGCTTGAGATGAAAAATAGATAAGAATCTCTGCAACATAGCTCCCTTACTGCAGTAATGTTAATTTAGAACCTGTAAAGGTAGTCCTCGACTTACAGCCACTGCTGAGCCCAAAATTTCTGTTGTTAAGTGAGACATTTGTTAAGTGAGTTTTGTCCCACTTTGCGATCTTTCTTGCCACGGTTGTTAAGTGAATCACTGTAGTTGATAAGTTAGTAACACGGTTATTAAGTGAATCTGGCTTCCCCATTGACATTGCTTGTCAAAAAGCTGCAAAAGGGGATCACATGACCTTGGGACATAGCAACAGTCATAAGTATGAACCAGTTACCAAGCATCTGGATTTTGATCACATAATCATGGGGCTGCTACAAAGGATGTAACTGTGAAAAATAGTCCATAAGTCACTTTCTCCAGCATGACGAGTGGAGAATCCACCAATGGGTTTTGCTTGTCTTCTGCCCTTAGACTAAATCAGCCAATTTTGCTCCGCCTCTCTCCCCAGTTCTCGACTTAGTCTCAGCCCGTTCAGACAGAATTATCTGGCTCCAGAAGCAATTTCTTTGAATCAGGTCGTATTTTTCTTTATTTTAACTTCGTTTAAATTGCTTCTGGAGCCAGAATGAGAAACAAATAAAAACAAAGATGAAATTGGAAAGAGTGTCCTCAAGGCACCAACTTCCTCAAGATGACATGCCATGACAAGTTGACAGAGACAGGCTTTTATGCTCTCTGGAAGGCCAAGGGGACTAGGTGCCAACTTCACCTCCGGATGGAGGGTGTTTCACACGTTACAGCAGAGAAGGCTCTCTTTCTAGACCCTGTCAGTTGGGATTCTTCAACTGACAAAGTCTGTAATATACCCATTCTGCCTGACAGGGTGGGATGGGTTAATGTAATTGGAACAAGAGGCTTCCTTGGGTAATCCAGTCGCATGCCATGAAGGGCTTTAAAGATGATTACCAGAACCTTGAATTAGATCCAAAAGCAAATAGGCATTCAATGCAGTTCATGAAACGAAGGTTTTACAGGCTCAGTCCTCGGGGTATCCAGAATTGTCTACATAGCCACATTCTGTACCAGCTTCAGCTTCTGGATACTCTTCAAGATAGGCCTATGTAGAGCGCATTGCAATTGTCCCTACAGGGCATGAATGATTGAGAGAATGGCCTCCGATCTAGGAAGCGGTGCAACTGGTGCACAACACAAAGTTAAGCAAAGGCCTTCCTAGCCATGACTGCTGTCTGCTCCTCAAGCAGGAGTTGTGAGTCCAGGACGTTCCCCAGATTATGTACTGGGTCTGTCTGAGGCAGTGCAACCCCATCCAAGACCAAGGATGATAAACTCCTAGATACATAGGACCCACCCACATCTTACCAGGGTTCAAATTGAAGCCTGTTGTTCTCCAGCCTTCCACAGTCTCCAAGAACCATGAAAGAACATCCACAAAATCATTTAATTCACCCAGGTCAGGGGTAGGCAACCTCGGCTCTTTTATGAATCGTGGACTTCAACTCCCAGAATTCCTGAGCCAGCGTGGCTCAGCTTGGAAACCTCTCCCTTTCCCCTCAGCATGGCTGGCTCAGGAATTCTGGGAGTTGAAGTCCACGAGTCATAAAAGAGCCAAGGTTGCCTACCCCTGACCCAGGTGAATTAAGCTGAATAGAGCATGGTGATGGATGATCATCATTTTGTTTTAAGATTATTAAATGCTAGTAATTTCTTCAGTTTTTTTTAAGTCATAGACAAATCGTTAATACATTGAACCAGTACTGGGTATACATAATTGGTGGTGGTTCTCTTCTTACATCTAGGCATTTAAAATTGTACCTTACTGCACAGAAACTCTGGACAAAATCCTCACAGAATCACTGAAAAAAAACCTTCCTGCCAGTGGTTTGCATCTCTTAGGAATCAATCAATTGGAAGAAGAAAATATTATTAGTGAGTATGATGGTGATTTGGGAAAAAAGGCCTTTATGAATGATTCTATACTAAATTCAAGTGCTACTACATTATGCAAAAAAGGCATATGTTATATGTTATATGAATGAATTGGGCGTGTGTAACTGTCTTACACAATCCAAGAAACTAGAGCAACTAGCACAGTTGTATGCCAGTTCCAGAAACAGATATTTTAAGAGACTAGAAAGAGATGTGGACAGAACACTTGTTCTATTGTCAAAGAGTTCATTTAAGAAGAAGCATAGCTTAGAAGAATATACATTAAAATAATGCCCTTATTTATTTATTGATATTTATTTATTTAACAATTCGTACTTTAATAGGCAAGTTTAATCTATATAAATAAAAATGTAAATGTTTGTTTGTTCAAAATCTTAAATCTCCGAAAGTTCTTCACCGATTGCTTTGAAATTTTGACACGACATTGCATTCAAATATGCGCGTGTTTTTATATACCTACTATTATATAGATGTCACACCTGTGACAGGTAAAAACATGCTTTTTTTTGAAAAACAGCGCCATCTGTTGGATGTAAAAGCATACCCACAAGCATTGTGAAATTAAACATATTACAAACGTGCACTTTCTCTTTTCTTTCTTTTCCATTTAACCAGACTGAGTCACAGCAACGCGTGGCCGGGTACAGCTAGTTATTGTAATAAAAAGCACAGTGGCAATGTTCAGAAAGAAAGATTATCGTTTTTTATTTTTAGATTTTTTTTATCCCGCCTTTATTATTTCAATAAATAACTCAAGATGGTGAACATATCTAATACTCTTTCCCCCTCCAATTTTCCCCTCAATAACCACCTTGTGGGGTGACTGGGCTGAAAGAGAGTGACTGGCCTAAATCATCCAGTTGACTTTCATGCCAATATATCAATTGCCAGCTGTGTACATCAGCACATGACTCATTTTATATTTAAGAAGTGATATAATGTATAACAGTACATATAGTCAAGGCCATGGTTTTCCCAGTTGCAATGTATGGCTGTGAAAGTTGGACCATAAGAAATGCTGAGCGCCAAAGAATTGAGGCCTTTGAACTATGGTGCTAGAGAAGGCGAGTCCCCTGGACTGCAAGGCAATCAAACCGGTCAGTCCTAGAGGAGATCAACCCTGACTGCTCTTTAGAAGGCCAGATCCTGAAGTTGAAACTCAAGTACTTTGGCCACCTAATGAGAAGGAAGGACTCATTGGAGAAGGGCCTAATGCTGGGAAAGATGGAGGGCAATAGAAGAAGGGGACGACAGAGAACGAGGTGGATGGATGGAGTTACTGAAGCAGTAGGCATGAGCTTAAATGGACTCCAGAAGATGGTAGAGGGCAGGAAGGCCTGGAGGAACGTTGTCCATGGGGTCGCGATGGGTCGGACACGACTTCGCAACTAACAATAATGTATAACACCCTTGTATGTTGTGTGTATTCTGGAAAGTGCTTTATGAGATCTTCCCGAGCAGCCGTGACCCCCGCCTCCCAAAAAGTGCCACATGTGACCTGGGTTGGCAGTCCTATCCTCACAGGGATTCTTCAGGATAAGCCAATATATGATACACGGCACATGATAAACAAAAACTGAAATTTAGATTTAGGCCATTTCCATTATTTAATTTGTCACCAGTGACATACTGTAGCTCTATCAAAAATTGCATTTTCCTCCTTTTTCTTTCAGGTCAAAGAGATGAAGAGTTGCCAACTCTGTTGCACTTTGCTGCAAAATATGGTTTAAAAAATCTCACAGCCCTGTTGCTTACATGCCCAGGAGCTCTGCAGGCTTACAGTGTTGCCAACAAGTATGGTCACTATCCTAACAACATTGCTGAAAAGCATGGCTTCAAAGATCTCCGCCAATTCATTGACGAATATGTGGTAAAAAAAAATTTTTTTTGTCTATTATAATGGGAAGAAAAGTACTGGGACTAAAACTTAACAATTCAAGGCTCACCTAGAAACAATAGATTTGAAGGTTTCAATGATATATGTGTGTGGTCTTATTCCACAATAATCAACATGTGAATGACATTGAGTTTACCAGAAGATGAGGGCCATTCTTGTAGTGAAATAATAATTTGAAAGACAGATCTTAAGGAGTCCTCCCCATTAATCTAAATGGGACTTTTAAAATTCGATCTAGAGATTTTTGATACTTCAGTTATCACATAGGAAAAAATCCCTATGGGTTATGTTATAGATCAGTGATGGCAAACCTTTTAGAGACCGAGTGCCCAACCCCCCAACCCCCACACCGCCCCTGTCCTGTGGGCCACCCACCGCCTCCACGGCCTGCCACAGATCGCCCAGGTGGCCCAGAAGCACCATGATGGCCACACCCTCTGCCCGCGCCCCGCAGCATCATCTGCACGTGACGGGGCATGAGGGCGGAGTCTTGTCCCCGCTGCCCGGCTGCCATGTCCTTGGCTGCGCTGTTCTGCGTGGGCCCCACCTGGGGGCGGCTCTCCTCCAGGGGGGCTGCTGGTGAGGGGTCCATGAGGGGAGGCGGGGCTGGGGCGACGGCGCGCGTGCCCAGAGAGAGGGCTCTGAGTGCCGCCTCTGGCACGCGTGCCATAGGTTCGCCACCACTGTTATAGATTCTGAAGTAACACAGAGGACTGTAAAACAGTAACTGTGAGAGGGACCTTGGGGTCAACTTTAGGATGAGCATGGCTGCCGCCATTTTTTCCTTCTCATTTCTAGTTGACACATAGCACAGAGGGAGAGGGGTTGCCAGGGTTTGCCCTAGACAAACCAGACTTGCTCTCTCAGGCTTTCTCTCATGGGAACCAATGTCATTGGCTGCTCCCAGGACTGCGGGCTGGGCGTTTCATGAAAAGCCCGCCAACAAGCTATATGGGGAAACGTAGTTGCTTGCATAGCCTTAGGGGTGAGATTTCTTAACTTTGTATTGGGGAATTGTTATGCATCTCTTCAGACCTGGTTTCACTTTGGAAGTGCCGATACTCTGTATCAATAAACACTTTTTTGAGGAATTTGCAAACCTCAGAGTTCTGCTTTATTTGTCTCTGTCTATTGGAACCATGACACTTGGAGTCCTAGTGGATGATCACTTGACTATGAGCCAGCAATGTGCAACAGCAGCCAAAAAAGCTAATACAATCCTGGGTTGTATAAACAGAGGCATAGAATCAAGATCACGCAAAGTATTAGTTAATGACAAATCACTTCCAAAATCTTGCCAGGAAAACTATAGGGATTTTTCCAGGCAATTGCCACGAGTCATAATTTTCTCTAAGGGACCAAAACCAAAACCACAATAAAATACTCAACTGCAAAACAGTGGAATAAATCTACTTATGAAAGTTGTGGGTTCTCCATCTCTGGAGGTATTTAAGAAGGGGCTGGACAGTCATCTCTCATGAAAGGTTTAGCTCAGGGGTAGGCAACCCTGGCTCTTTTATGACTCGTGGACTTCAACTCCCAGAATTCCTGAGCCAGCCATGCTGAGGGGAAAGGGAGAGGTTTCCAAGCTGAGCCATGGTGGCTCAGGAATTCTGGGAGTTGAAGTCCACGCGTCATAAAAGAGCCAAGGTTGCCTACCCCTGAGTGATTTATGAAATGATTCTCACACTTTGCAGAGGGTTAGATGATCTTTGTGCCCCTTCCAACTCTATAATTCTATGAGTGTTATTTTATTCATGGTATGCTTGTACTGGGTTTCATTTTGCTCCCTTTAAATTAGGTTCAGTAGGACCGTGTTTTGAACTGATTATATTATTCAAGCAGTCATTACTGTCCTAAAAAGACCACTTGCTTTTCTTTTTCTTGCAGGAGACAGCAGATATGCTGAAAACTCACATAAAAGAGGAGTTGATGCAGGGGGAGGATAACGGCTCTATTTATGAGTCCATGGCTCATGTCTCGGCTGACCTACTGATGAAATGTTCGCTGAACCCCTGTTGTGACGAAGAACTCTATGAATCCATGGGTGGTTTGATGCCCAGCTCTACAGAGGATTTATGTACATATACAATGTTCCTTATTTATCTCATAACATAAGTGTTAGTGGCTACTAACTAACGTGGAGGCAATTTTTTGTCACTTTAAATATGGTCATTTTACACATGGGATGCAAAATTAAAACATACTTAACTTTGCATGAGAATGTAAGTAGCAAAAAAAACAACATTCTTGTTGTTGTTGTTGTTAGTTGCGAAGTCGTGTCTGACCCATCGCAACCCCATGGACAACGTTCCTCCAGGCCTTCCTGTCCTCTACCATCTTCTGGAGTCCATTTAAGCTCACGCCTACTGCTTCAGTGACTCCATCCAGCCACCTCATTCTCTGTCGTCCCCTTCTTCTCTTGCCCTCAATCTTTCCCAGCATTAGGCTCTTCTCCAGTGAGTCCTTCCTTCTCATGAGGTGGCCAAAGGACTTGAGTTTCAACTTCAGGATCTGGCCTTCTAAAGAGCAGTCAGGGTTGATCTCCTCTAGGACTGACCGGTTTGGTCGCCTTGAAGTCCAGGGGACTCACAGGAGTCTTCTCCAGCACCATAGTTCAAAGGCCTCAATTCTTTGGTGCTCAGCCTTTCTTACGGTCCAACTTTTACAGCCATACATTGCAACTGGGAAAACCATGGCCTTGACTATACGCACTTTTGTTGGCAGGGTGATGTCTCTGCTTCTTAGTATGCTGTCTAGATTTGCATACTTACCTGCAAGCAGCAGTGTTCATGTAGAGAATGCTATATTTACAGTTTGCGATTTGGCAGACTGTATTCTTTACAGTATTGCCCTTCAGGTTTGGATATGGAGGAACATAGGACATACAGTACAGGTAGTCCTCAACTTACAACCGATTGAGCCCAAAATGTCTGTTGCTGAAACGTTTGTTAAGTGAGTTTTGCCCGTGTTTTACAACTTTTCTTGCCACAAGCATTCAGCAAATCCTGTAGTTAATAAGTTAGCAACACAGTTGTTAAGTGAATCTGGCTTCCCCACTGATTTTGCTCATCAGAAGGTCACAATACCTTGGGACATTGCAACCATCATAAATACATGCCAGTTGCCAAATGTCAACCATCCCACTCAGTCGTCTAGTAAAGAAAGACTCCTTGACGATTTGTTTTTCCAAGAGTATACTTGACCGAAGCTTAAATCGTTACAGAACTAGTGTAAGCTGAATCTGAGATTTTTCCTGTGCAAACAACAAAGGAAAGTTTCCTTTTGCCGTCCCCCCTGGCCATCCCCCAGTTATCTGCAAATGTCCAATCAGATGCTTGTATATTGTTTAGGAAATAGGTGCTTTGGTTCCCAGCTCTGCATATTGTTAATTGATCTTGGCTGGCTGTAGCTTCTCACAAGACTCAGCTGGGCTTCCATCCTCCCTTTGTTCCTTACGTTCCAATCTTTTCTTCTCCCTTCCCTCCCCCACTGGTGCTAATGTCAGGCAGTCAGTTCATGAAGCTTGGGTAGGTGAGATGCAGCCATGACGCCAAGTGTCTGTGTTAGAAATTCTGTATATAGCCCTACATAACATACAGTGCACAGTCCACATATGCTTCTCTGCTTAATGTGACAAGGAAGCAGGAAACTTTATTCAGAGAAAAGGCATAGAGCAGTGGTGGCGAACCTATGGCACATGTGCCAGAGGCGGCACTCAGAGCCCTCTCTGTGGGCACGTGCGCCGTCGCCACAGCCCTGCCTCCCCCCACAGCCCCCTCTCACCAGCAGCCCCCCCCAGAGGAGAGTCGCCCCCGAGTGTGGCCCGTGCAGAGCAGTGCAGTCAAGGAATGGCAGCCAGGCAGCGAGGCCAAGACTCCGCCCTCGCGCTCCGTCGCACGCAGTTGATGCTGCGGGGCGCAGGCAGAAGGCGTGGACGCCATGGCGCTGCTGGGTCGCCTGGGCAATCTGCGGCAGGCTGTGGAGGTAGTGGGTGGCCCTGTGGGCGGGGCGGGGCCGGGGCCGGTTTTTGGGCACTCGGTCTCTAAAATGTTCACCATCACTGGCATAGAGTATAGATGCAACTACTGTACAAACATATAAACACTGCCATCTACTGGTTGAAAAATATCTCTCTCTGCTGAATACTGCTGTAGTTGTACAAAATACAAGATTCACGGCAACTTCCTCTCCTGAAACTTGCCCTGAACACTGTACTCCAACACCCCCACTCAACAAGTATTCCTTATGGTAGTCCATGAGGTAGTTCTGAAAGTGTCCATGTTTGCAGTTCGCTAAGAGATGTCATCTCTTCATCAGCAGTTCTGATGCACTTTTGTTTCTCATGGGCTGGAAATCTTTTCATCTCATCCCATGAATCTGGCTCTGGTTTTAATGATACGCGAGCAACATAGGACAGATTTTTGGCTGAGATGCCTTTATTGCTTTGGTGGATTTCCTGATTGAAGCCTCTTGTGGCCCTGGTTCTCCTTTTACAGTATTTAGATAGCCTGCGTTAATGACTATTTCTGTGTCACGTTGCTTATCTTCATTTGATACTGAGGTGGAATTGAAGCATTTGTGGTCATGAAATTTTGAACACACTGAAGTTTCATTGACGATTACACTTCTACTGATGGTTACCTTGTTTGTGTCTTGATGTAGAATTCTGTATCCCCTTTGAGAGTCACTGTACTCCACAAGTGCACCTTCCTTTGCATAATCATCCCATTTTGTACATTTTTATTATGGGATGTGCACATAATGTAAGGACCTGCCTCAGTTAAATCTTCCAAAAAAACAGAACTCTTGAAACTTGCATGGTCCCAAAAGGAACTTTTATTGGAAGGTATTGATAGCAGGATAGTAAGGCAGGATCTGAGGATTTCCCGCGCAAAACGTTACATTAACAGGACCCTTTCAAACCCCACCCCAAATTTCCAACTGGCCGGTTTGAATTGAACCAATCCATATCCATTTGTTGCTCTTCTCTGTATTTTTTTCCAATTCCTCCATGACTGTGACATGTAAAGAACCTGTAGGGTCTCCCATTTACTGCAGAATTTGATTCCCAGTTGATGTCAGGGTACTTGAAATCCCCCATTATTTATTAAATTTATATGCCACTCACTGTTGCAACAACTCTAGGTGGCTTAGTGGTGTGATATCTTGGGCATCTAATTTGTGAAAACGTCATGTATATTTTTTACTTAATACAATATACCAGACATGTCAAACACAAGGCCCGGGGGCCGGATGCGGCCCGCGAAGTGGTTTCATGTGGCCCGCGAAGCCATCCTGGAAACAGTGAGGGAACGCCCCCCTCTGCCTTGGCCCTGGCCCAGACCGGCCGGGAGCCAATGTACAATTTTGTGGTGGCCATCTATGCTGAAATGCATTCAGTCTTAGCTCCACAAGGCCGTCTAGAAACAGCGAGGAACCAGCTCCTGTGTGTCGGCCCCACCCCCTGGGTGCATGCTGGGGAGGCGTCACCCTTTGTGAGGAATGAAGAAATGGACCATGCCTTGGTGCTTGCCCCGGTCCCACCCCCTTCTGCCAGAGATCCTCAGATCTGTCCCACTCCTGCCCAGGCCCCCACAGGCACCCTTGACATGAACGATGTAGAGCTGGCCACACCCACCCAGTAGGCCACACCCACTCCATTCACGCCCACCCAGTAGGCCGCACCCACCTGGCCCCCCGAGGGCAACCGCAATGCTGATGTGGCCCTCAATGAAATTGAGTTTGACACCCCTGCAATATACGCTCACAACGTTTTCCCTTATTATTTAGCCAGACACTCTTAGTAGGGTTTTCGTCCTTGGGGGTGATACATTTTCATATAGGTGTAATCATCCTTTACATATAATGAATTCCACCTCCCCTTTTGTTAAGTTTATTTCTTTTGAACAAATGACTTTCTCCCAGTATTGAATACTAATTATGAGATCCATCTTACCTAAGTCATATCTAGAATATCATATTTATTTACCTGTACTAGGACCAAGCTTTGCCTATTTATTACTCATACACAGCATATTGGATAGAGGCATCTGAGCTCTTCAGCACTTCCTTCCTTGTCCTAAGCCAGTGATGGCGAACCTTTTAGAGACCGAGTGCCCAAAAACTGGCCCCGCCCCGCTCCACCCCCTGCCCTGCCCCCACTCTGCCCCACCCTGCCTGCCCGCAGGGCCACTCGTCGCCTCCAGGGCCTGCCGCAGATCACCCAGCAGAGCCATGGCGGCCACGCCCTCTCCCCGCACCCCGCAACATCAACTGTGCGCAATGGGGCGTGAGAGCAGAGTCTTGCCTATGCTGTCTGGCTGCCATGTCCTTTGCTGCACTGCTCCGCTCGGGGGTGACTCTCCTCCAGAGGGGCTGCTGGTGAGGGGTCCATGAGTGGAGGCAAGGCTGGGGCAATGGCACATGTGCCCATAGAGAGGGCTCCGAGTGCCACCTCTGGCACCCATGCCATAGGTTCGCCACCACTGTCCTAAGCTAAGGTTTACTTTTTTCAGATTTATGTTATAAGTGTGCCTCAAGTTAGGGTTTCCTTCCCCTTCCAGTTAGTTTAAAGCTCTCTAGATAACTTTTACAGATATTTTCCAAAGATATTCTTCCCTGGTTTTGTGAGATGAACCTTATCTCTTGCCAGAAGCCCTTCTTATAAGTAGAGACAACCATGGTACAGGAATCCAATTTTTTTTCTTAATGGTGGGTAATGAGCTGTTATCATTGATGGGGTGTTGGGCCATTGTTTATCCTTGAGTACGAGGTATGTGGGGGAGGTTAAGTGTGTTTTAATCCTGTAAGCTGCCCAGAGTTTTTCACACCATTGCTTGAGCCAACAGTTCACTTCCAGAATCCTTCGTTCCTTCCTTAGCACATCATCAAATGGATTGGAAACATTGCCTACGCTCCAGCTTTTTCTATTTCCTATCTGGCTCCTTATAGTTTCTTAATCTTCTTACCAAGATTTGTTCTGCAGTCTTGACGAGGAGATCAATATTGCTCATTAATTATTGGAACATTCAGTGTCACGTGGTATGCTATAGGAGTTTTTACTATATAGAGGATAGGCATCTCATCTGTATCTTCAAAGAACTTGCATATTTCTGGGCAATTATGTTTAAAATATAGGTAGGACCTTTTGTTTAGCGACAGTTTGAGGCTATGGCGGTAGTGAACGAAGGGACTTACGACCGGTCCCTTAAGTTACAGCCGTTACAGCATCCCTGCAATCATGTGTTCACAATCTGGGCACTTTGCAACTCATTCACACTTAGGGCCAGTTGCCAAGCACCCACAGTCACATGATCATCATTCACAAACTTCCCTGTTTTCCCAGAAAGTCAATGGGGAAGCTGGCAGGGAAGGTCACAAGTCACTGGGGTAAGTCTCCCCCATCTGCGCACTCTTCCCAGCCCTTCTGCATCATGTCATAGTGGCCACACACACGCCCATGCACACTCATGGGCGTCCTTCCCAACCTACATAGAACTTCTTGCACATCCCTTTGCATCCTCCCCAACCCATGTGGTGCTTCCCACATATCCCTGCACAGCCTCCCCGGCCCTCCCGCAGCTCTTGCACACTTTTATGTACTTTCTCACATCCTCCCTCACACTCTTCCTCAACCATTGCATTCCTCCCTTCCTCACCCGGCAGCAGCAACTTTACCTGCCAGCCTGGAACTTCCTGCTGTCTTTCCCACTGACTTTGGTTGTGGGAAGCAATAGGAAATTGCCTAACAAGTGTGGAATTCGATTAACAAGGACAACTGGGACTGCAGGGATTCCCATCGCTAAGCGACTACGTGGTGGTGCTTTACAACTGCATCCCTCAGCAATGGAAATTCCTGTCCCAATTGTCATCATAAGTCAAGGACCCCCTGTAAACACACAACCTTTGTGTGACATTTTGATGACCAAGCTTTTATGGAAGCACGAGGAGTAAATATTGTTAATCCAACAGTATGAAATTTATGGCCAATACCTGGACATGGATTGATTTTCAAGATGGTACTAAGCTTTTAAAGGTGTTCTTTCTCTGTTTTTAATACAACACCTTTTAAAAAAATAATTCTTCCTCATCTAAGAAAATAAAAAATAGGAAGCTAACTCATATATTTAATATGTATGTTGGTAAAGTCAACTAAGTACATGTGTGATCATTTTTTCCAGATGTAGAAATGCTTCAGTCAGATGCTAATAATCCTCTTTCACGGACTACCAAGGACTATATGATGCGCAGATTCTTAGAAGGTGAGCGACATAGCAAACACTTAACCAAAAGGCAAGATTACAACCAGAAGCAATTGCTGTGCATGTTATCCTTTGGCAGCTATCTACCAGCACCCTCGCAATCTTTGCCTCTTCAGTCCAGGATTTCACTGTTTTAACTATTTATTTTAAGATGTATTACCTATAAACAGGTTCAAGGTGAATCATACAGTGATCAGAGTGTCCCATAGCTGCTCTTGGTGCAGAGCGATAGGCATCTTTTATTGTTGAGTAGCAGTGGTTCAAAACATTCTTGCTTCTTGTGAGGCAATTGATATGCTGAATGTATCTTGGCATCTCTTGGCTTAGGGTCAGCACTGTTAAAATCTCCTAACACAGACATGTCAAACACAAGGCCCGGGGGCCGGATGCAGCCCGCGAAGTGGTTTCATGTGGCCCACGAAGCCATCCTGGAAACAGTGAGGGAACGGCCCCCGCTGCCTTGGCCCTGGCCCAGGCCGGCCGGGAGCCAATGTACAATTTTGTGGTGGCCATCTTGGCACTTGCCCCAGTGGACCATGCCTTGGCGCTTGCCGTGGTCCCACCCCCTTCTGCCAGAGACCCTCAGATCTGTCCCACTCCTGCCCAGGCCCACACAGGCACCCTTGACGCGAATGATGTAGAACTGGCCACGGCCACCCAGTAGGCCACACCCACTCCATCCACGCCCACCCAGTAGGCTGTACCCACTCTGGCCACACCCACCCGGCCCTCAGTGAAATTGAGTTTGACACCCCTGTCCTAACACAATGAGCACAGAGTCTGAATATCTCTGTTCAGCCCACAAGATTTGGTCAGTTAAGATTTGCATTGCCTTGTTTAAGCAGGCTTAGGGTGGGTATGTAGACCCAATTAGGATGAACGAAGAAAACTCTCAGAGGGGGGGGCATAATAGGGTATGCAGTTAATGTCTCACATCACAAAATTTCTTTAGTGTAGCGACATTTTTATACCAACGGTTATTATCATAAAAGCAGATACGGCCTCCCTTCTTTTTTACTGGGTGTTTCTGCCATTCTTATCTGCTCTTTTGAATCTGAATTTCTGAGATTTGTTTGTTTTCATTTTTAATATGATTTCCTTTTCTAGGTGTGAGTTTGGAGATACCAGAACCTAAAGAAAGTATCTACCATCAAAGTGAGGACAAAGATGTCTATCATACTGTAGAACAAGACAGTTTTCCTCAGGAAATGGTCAACAGGCCACCAGTTCCTATTCCAAGACCTGATCTCTCCTCCATACAGGAAGACAAAGAACCATACATTTGTAAAGGTGAGTAGTGAACAAAAATCTGATAGCTTTTTTGCTAGACAGTGTAGAGTAGGAGAGGGGAAAATGTCCATTTTTACAGATGTCAAATACTTATTTCGTTTCAGAATTTTTTTTGCCTCTTGTTTTTTATTATAATATTTGATTAGTTGTCTATAAGCTCTCCTTTTTAAAATGTGTTTCAATTTTGGGTACTCCTCTGAGTTTTGTTCCTGTTTGTATTTATATTTCTTTTGATGTTATGTTTGATAACTTGATTTATATTTCAATACTATTTATAACATTTTTAATAAGGGCTACTAACACAACTTTATATTATGAACTTTTAAAATGTTTTAAATAAATTTTACATGTTCAGTTTTTGCAGGAAAAGATCAAGAGAAATCTGGGAATCTTTATATTTCTGCAACAAATATTGGCAAAGGTGACAAAGGTGAGTCGCGATTACAGAATTTTTGCAGTTTTTGGACAGGTTATTGTAAGTTTTATTAAGGGTTAATGCTGTTCATTATAGATTAGCATAACTGAGCCATGTTAGTTAAATCAAGTAATGGCAATGTGACCTAAGAGCTGTTATCTTAGAGGAACCTAAGTAGCCATGCAAGATATTGATGTGATTCCTCTTCTATCTAAGTGGTGAACTGTCTTAGTAACACTTCTCTTCGCTGTTTTTACACAATCTCAGAAAAAACACACTCCCACCCCTAAATCCAACTTGACAGGTCTCCAGACATTTCTAGAAATAACTGCTAAATTTATTACACTATCAAATGTTAAATTATGTAGTAATTTTGGGAACTTCAGAAGTTTTATAAATTCAGCTGTGCAAATTTCTTGAGATTTGCAATTGGTTTTATTGCTTTCTCATGCAAGGGTTATTTTGATCTTCAATGTAATTTAAATAAATAGAGGAGTCCGGAAAAAGTTCATGGCAGACTAAAAAAGTCTTTGGAGAAGCTGTTGAATGAAAAATCTTCAGCAGGGTCCAGTCCAAGCTAGGAATAAACAAAATAGAGACTGCTTTATAGTAGTGGCCAAAATTGTGGAAACCTTTTGGGAAAAGTTTATTTTTGAGGTTTGATGGCTAATAACACCACTTTTTTGGGGGGAGTAGTACCATAAAATTATATATCAACGGAAAGATAATTTAATCAAGAATGTAATGCAACAAAGTTTGTTCAATGATCTGTACTGTATTCTATGAAAAGTGATAGCCAAATAACCAGAAAAAGGAAGCACAACTTGCTTAGGTTGATATCAGGTAGCTTTCCTTCATCTGATGGTAGCCAATGAGCACGAGTGTTTAGAGAGCCAATGAAGTGTCATCTTGTTTTGGCAATGAGCCAATCAGATCACAGTAGGAGTCAGTGATTGATGTCATGTATTGAAGCTGAGAGAAGGACATGTGTCAGTGTGTTATGTGATCGCTATCAAGTTGGTTGGGTTTTTTTTCCCCTTTCATTTAGTGAGCTTGTAAAACATAATAGAATTAAAGTCATGGTGCAAAGAGTTGAGTGGTTGCCCAGAAAGCGATGTAAAATAGTATTATTAAGTGAACAAGGCTACAGTTATAAAGAAATGAGAAGAAAAATGGGTGGAAACTTAACCAAAGGTGGCATTTCTACTGTACACTTTTCCCAAAAGGTTTCCACAATTTTGGCCACTACTGTAGAAAGAAGGTTGGAGTTTATTGAAAAACAGAACCACAAGACATGAGGCTCTGGAGCAGCTGACCACATGTTGCTGCGAGTGGTGGGTTTTGATACCTTCTGGGGCCTTTGAGGTTGTTTCCTGTTCCTGTTTGAGACTTTGTATTTCCTGCGTCATGTACTTTGATGTGCGTCTGAGTGTTTTTGGACCCTCCTAAAACCTGGAAGGAACCTGAAAATAGTAAACACATATTAAGGCCGTTCCTCTACCTCCGCCTCCTACTTACAGGGCCCCTGGTTTCTGAGGATACTTGGCATGAAATATTAAACGTTCTGTTCTGAGGTTGTGGGGTTTAACCCATCTCGCTTCTGCTATTGGATAACCTCTCCATTGTACTAAGTACTGTAGTTTCCCTTAATGGATCCTAGAGTCTAAGATTCGCTTGATCTCGTAATGCCTTTTGCCCTCCACTATTATTGGACCAGGAGCTTCCTTTTCAATTGGTCTTAATCTAAATCCCGTAAACAGCTTTGGGAACTGCAGTGAAATATTGAGTGCACTTTACCCAATATTCTGGGTAATTTCAGTTCTACTGTAACCAGATTAATGATTTTCACAATTGGGAAAGGCCCTATGTATTTGGGACCTAGATTCTTGCAGGGAATCCTCAACTTTTAAGTATTTCGTAGACAGATACATTTGATCTCCTCACCACCGCGGTCCTAAAGGAGGCGGTGGTGAGGCCCCTCCTTAAGAAGCCCTCCCTGGACCCAGATGTATTGGCAAATTATCGTCCAGTCTCCAACCTACGCTTTGTGGCGAAGGTTGTTGAGAGTGTGGTTGCACAGCAGTTTCCCCGGCACCTGGAGGAAACGGTCTATCTAGACCCTCTCCAGTCGGGCTTCAGGCCGGG